TTCAGGCAAGCACCCTGCTGATGTTACAGATCCTCACCAAACACTCGCGGACCGATGTCGACTGATGGTTGCCAGTCACGAAGACGTTCTTGCCAGATCCCCAGCAGACAGACAAACCCACGTTCAAATCTTAAGACTAGTGGCTGCCACCGCTAGGAACAGCGGTGACAGTTTCTGAATGACTGGTCTCTGCTGGGCACTGGTGGAGGGTGATTTCTTGCACCATCTCACGTAACACTTAGACCCGTGCTATCAGATAATTAGTAACCCCTCTTAGGGATAAATAGTTGTTCTGAGATTGTACCGCTAATCGATAGCAAAATAGACACCTAGAACCCGTATTTTTTCTCAGCCAAACATCTACTTATAAATTAGTATTGAGAGAAGACGAACTTCCTGGCACTGTGGGAGTGCCGTAAGGCAGGGGAACCAGATAGAGAGGGAGCTCGGGGAGGGGATGATTTTATCAAGGGGTTTGGGGGGGGGGGAGTTCTGTGAGAAGGTGTCATTTCAACTAAAGCCTGAACGCTGAGAAGGAGCCCACCACGTGATGTCCAGACAGCGAGCGCTCTGGCCTAGAGCAGACGAAGGTGGCACGTCCCAGGACAGAAAGCAGAGGCCTGCACCTGAGGTTTAGCCGTGTGTAGAGGAGAGTCAGTCCTCTCCTTCATTAGACACCGGCCTGGTTGGTGCGCATCGATGGCTACGAAGCTTCCCCAGCTCCCCCGCAACCAACCCAGGCCTACTCTTTCAGAGTCTCGGAGGCAGGGACCCGGGGCTCTGCATTTGGAACAGATTTCCCGGGATTTTTTTCTCCACTCAAGTTTAATGACAGTGTTTTAAAGAAAACTAACTTGAAACATGATCACATCAACCAAGGTGACTCTACTTGGGAATTTCTTTGTAGGTAAGCCCTTGATGTTATCCCAAAAAGGTAACCAGGCTGTCTCCCAAAACTCGTATCTCCTCTCCTGGTGGACCTGAGACCTTCTCAGACCCCCTTCATCCCGTGGGACTTTTCGGGGATCCTGAGACAGTGATCCACTCAGACTAAAATGGGCCATTATTTCAGAGGCGCAGACCCCGCCGTACTGCTGGGCTGCGTCCTCCGCCTGTGCGTGGTTCGGTTTCTCGGAGGAAATAAAGCGCCGGGACCTGGGCAGCAGCTGTTCCCACGAAGCAGCCGTCTCTGAATTTAGCAAACTGCTCTGTTGCATCAGACTTTCTTCCCAGCTGATTAAATGAAGACAAACAGAGTCAATTATTATAATTCTGTGCAGTTGCGTGGCATTTTTTTTTCTATGAGAGTTACAGTATTTCTATATTTTTTACGTTAGAGATACAAAGAGATGAATGACTTCAATTTTCTTGGAACTTCGATTGCAGGGTTCGCGGGGCCCCAGAGGGGAGAGAGACGTTGAGAGTTCAGGACAGGGAGCCGCCCTGTGACGGGTCAGTGATGGGAGCAGTGCTGGGGGTGTCGGGAGATGCACCTTGCTCTTGTTTTCAAGGATTTCAGGACTTATGCTTCGAGACTTACCGACTTCCCTGGAGGGGCGTGTCTGTGAGATCGGCGAGAACACGGGCTTCCAAGTGACAGCGGCTGTGACTTCCAAAGGGAAGGGACGCTGCTCTGGTGTAGCCTCATGTATCTCTGCCCTGTCCTCGCACAAGCGGGTTTGGGGGATGCGGGGAGCGGAGAGAGGTGCATCAGCACAACCAGAAAACAGGGGGGGAGTAGAGGAGACTTATCATCAGTCTCCAAACAGTGGAACTATTGTTTGCACCTCACTTTACCAGCTTGGCATCTTCACTGAGATGAACCTTTTGTCTCTCATCATAACCCTGGGAGGCTGGGCCTGTTTTGAGGAGGAAATTGAGTCTCAGAGAGGTTCCAGATTGCCCCAGAGGACTCAACAGAAAACGGCTATGTGTCATTCTCAGTGTCGACGTGTATCTGTACACACACATGCACCTCTGCTCCTACACACAGCGGAACATTGCTCAGCAATAAAAAAGAGTGAAATGTCTTGCCCCTTGCGACAACATGGGTGGACATAGAGGACACTACACAAAAAGAACTAAGCCATAGAAAGACCAATACAGTATAATTTCACTTACATGTAGAATCTAAACCAGCAAAACCAATGAGCCAATGAAACGGAAACAGACCCATAGACACAGAGAACAAACTGATGGTCGCCACCGGGCAGGAAGGCGGAGGATGGGTGAGAAAGGTGAACGGGGACATAGTCGATGCTATCGTGACGGCTTTGCACGGTCACAGACACTTACTAGACCTAGCGTGGTAATGGTGTGGCAAGGCATGTAAATGTCGGATCACTGTGTTGTGCATCTGAAACCAATACAATATTGTATGCCAACTACACTTCAATAAAAAAATTTTAAGTAAAATAAAGATGTGCTTAAAGGGAAAAAAGAAATTTAAAGAACTGGTTTTAATTTAGATTTATTTTAGTCCTTAGCTATAATGATTTCCATAGATGAAAATGATACTCCAAAGAAAAACAGACACAAAGCAAAAAAAAGTGGATTGTCATATGTACTTAATAAATAATATCACTTGTTTTCCAGTTTTTTTCCACTGATTATACAGATTTTATTAAAGCAACTACTGATGTCAGTTGGTAGTTACAGCAGACTAATATAATTGCCATATATATATCTATATATATATATATCTATATATTCCAAACCCTACTGCCAACCTCTCACCTGGAAAAGTTTTAACTTGTTAATAAGTTCTGCCACCAAGTTTTATTTTATTTTTTAAGTGTACAGACAAGGGGCTTTTTTAAAGTGATTTGTTCTTTGCAACAAATCCCCAAAACAAGTCACACACATCCAAAAATGGTTTTTTCTCATCAAGAATTTCTTTTTTAAAACATCAGCTATTAAACTCACTCCTTGATGACCAACGGCACCTTGAAGGGGCAGATTAAGTACAGGCACCACTACCACCTGTCCTCTCCCAGGGAGGTCAGGGCGTCTGGAGGATGTTTGTTGTTGCTATTCAAGAAAAAAAATGCATGTTTAGGTTCTAAAAAGACTTTTAAGTGGTCTGCCGGAAGGAAATCATACATCTTCTGTGTGACGCCCAGGATGAACATGGCCGCTCGCATCTCAGTCCAGAGTGTGGGACTATTTTTGAAGGCGTGGTCTTCCTGACATGGACCACACCCGTTCCAGCACTTCATCACAACCTGCCGCACGCCTCCGACCAGCGAAGGACCCGGAGGGGCTGCGGGTCACACTCTCCCCTCAGGACACCTCACGTGGCCCTTGGAACACGTCTGCAGCTGAAACACATCTGCTCCTCGGAAGTCCTCACTGCCACCTGTGTCCCACTGTTAAACTAATCAAACGAGGAAGCCGCTAGACCAGCGTGGCTCAAATGCCATTGCAGGCTGCCTACGCAAAGAGACGTCTAAGCCTGCAAATGCTCAGACTTACGAAATCGACATGTGAAGGATTCCCAATTACAAACAGCCAAGGAGGCTCCAAACGATGGACACATGACTTCCTCTTTGCTTCACACTGGATGGAAGTCTTTCCAGCAGCTTCGGTCAGTGGTGCGCTCCTGATCACTTCCGCTCTGACACTGCCCACTTTTAATGAATTGTTGCTCATATAAGCTATTAAAATGTTTAACGTGCCTCAGTTTATCTTTTAACACCGCATACTGGTAAAGCTTAATTTCTCTTACTTTTTCAGACAGAGTGAACTGTATTGGAAATCTTTGCTAGGTTCCTCCCCCACCCAGGAATCATACTATGCATCCTCTAGGGCGCTGGCCCCCACTTTGCAGCTCACTTGTCTGGGTGGTTCCTGCCTGGCAATGATTTGCAAGACCCATATCTGCCTGGCTGGCGTAGCTCAGTGGATTGAGCACGGGCTGGGAACCAAAGTGTCCCAGGTTCGATTCCCAGCCAGGGTACATTCCTGGGTTGCAGGCCATAACCCCCAGCAACCGCACATTGATGTTTCTCTCTCTCTCTCTCTCCCTCCCTTCCCTCCCTAAAAATAAATAAATAAAATCTTAAAAAAAAAAAAAAGACCCATATCTGCCCACGGATGTTTAAAACATGGTCCCCGGTCCTACGGAGGTTTCCGAGAGTTTGCGCATCCTCATGGATTACATTGTCACCCTTCATCCGGGTTTTGCTTTCCACACTTTCCGTGACCTGCAGCCAACCACGGTCCAAAAATATTAAACAGAACATTCTAGGGGGGAAACGCGTAAGTTTACAATTGCGTGCCATTCTGAGTAGTGTAACGAAACTTTGCGCTTCTGCTCACCATCCCCTGCTGTCCGGCCCACGATGTGAACCGTCCCTGGCCCGGCAGATCCGCGGGGGAGCCCATGCTCCCCGCCCCCTCGTCCCGCGGTAGCCATCTCCGCTATTAGGAGCTGCATTCTGTCTGTGCTGTGCGGGCCGAAGCCCTCCAGTCGGTCAGCTCGTGCCTGGCGGCCGAGTGTGCTGTCGCAGCCCCGAAAGCATCCTTCCCCAGGAAGTGTGCACAGCCCGAGCTTTGCCTGCAAGCTCCAGGCCTGAGAAATGCAAAGGAGGTGGCCCAGAAAGTCAGACAGAGTGCGGGGCTCAGCGATGCTCCCAACGCCGTCTCCCTTGGAGGGGGAGACTTTGCACAGCGACGCGGAAGAAGGAGGAGGTGGGGGGAGGCTGGCCTCCTTCCCCTGCAGTCCACGGGCCCCCAGGAACCGATGTACTTCCTCATTTCCCTCTCTGCCTCATCGCCCCGCTCCTGGCACAGGGTCAGGGGGTTCGTGCAGCGGGGGCGGTGGAGCCGGAAGCCTCCGGCAGGAAGGATGCGGTCTGTTCTGAGAGAGAGAGCTGAGTTGTGGTGTGAGGAGGCCCACCTCGGGGGCCCCTGACCACCTGACCCCCCAGCTCCCCGGAGCCCAGACCTCCACAGGGCAGGCCTGACCTTCCCTTCTCCTGCCAGATCGGATCGCCTGTCCCTGCAATGTCTCTTGCCATGGACACGCATGTGCCTATTCCTTCACGGGGCATTTTACGTGTGTGTGTTGAGTGTCCGCTCTGTGCCAAGCAGTCCCCCAGGTGCATGGGACGCAGCAGTGAGTATGCTGATAATAGGAAAAATACCTCTTCGGGCTTCTATTTTACTAGGGAGAGTCAGGCAGTAAATGCGGCCAGCTGGCAAGGTGTTTGCTGGGGTACAGGTGGAGGGGGCTATGTGAGAAGTTAACACAGGAAGTAGCATCGGAAGCATGGGGACCCCGGGGTAGCAGCTAACTGAGGTGTTGGAAAGCAGGTCTTCCTGGGGAGGGGGCGGGGGAGTGAAGACCTGGACGAGTGACAGGGGCCAAAGAGCTGAAAGGAAGAGGGGGACAGGCCCAGAAAAGTCCGGGATGGTGAGAAGGCCCGTTTAGCCAGGAAGGATGGGGAGAGAGGAGGAGGAGGAGGAGGAGGATGGAGAGGTAGGTGGTCACCATGGAGACCACATATTGAAGAGGGCGGGGTCAGAGCAAAGGCACAGGCTGACCGCCTGGGTCACTCCCTGGAGGGGGGCCGCCCAGAAGAGCCCCCCTGACTGGGGCGTAGAGATAAGTGGACGTGTACCATTACGCCCCTCGGTACTTCATTGCAGAAACCGTCCTGCTAGCACAAGGGGGAGTAGAGGTAGTGGGTGAGGACAGGTGGGGTTGTTTTTTTTGAGAATTTTGGGGTAAAGGAGGGAAATAGATGGGATGATAGAGGGGGAAACAGAGTACAAAGAGATGTTTTTGTTTATTCATGTTCTTTTTGTGTGGTGGGAGGGATTGTGAGAAAGGGCTGGGGTCCGAGAGCAGAGACCTGCAGGAACAACCTCCTTTGGTGGGAAGGGAGCTGAAGCCTGGAACACACGTGTCGGGAATGACAGCGGCCAGGAGCACACACAATTCATCTCCGCGGCGGGAAAGGAAGCCGGTGTCCCGCCGCAGAGCCACGTGGGTGGGTGCATGAATAGATGACAGCTTGCAGAGGTCGTCCGAAAACTCCAGTTTGCTCAGCGAGATCACCAGCTGAGCCGAGGACCAGAGAGGAGGTGTCAGGGAGCTGCACAGAGAGGAGAAGGGGAATGAAATGGTCGTCAAGGGCTGTACAGGCAGTGAGAGGACCCCGCAATTGTGAATCGCTCACTGGGTGGCTCTACGGGTCCACTTGAAAGGATCACAGATGCAAAGCCAGACCGGCAGGATGTCTCCGGCCAAGCCCGGCTGCCAGCCGGCTCTGTGGGCCGGCCACGGGATTTCAGGTGAGCAAACAGGGCAGGGACCACAGAAGGGTGTGAGCGAGGAACACCAGCATGAATGGACTGCAGCACCCTCTGAGGTTCCAGGAGCGGTAGAGACGAGGATGCGAGAAGAAAAGAGACGAACAGGGGGTGAGGACAGAGAGAAGGACGCTCCGAAGGGGAGATCAGGAAGAAGTAAAGCTGCCAGAGCAATGGTGACCACATCCTGCGTGTGACTGTGGAAGGGAGTGGCTGAGCTGAGCGGGAGAAGAGGGAGAACGGGAAGAGAGGAAGCCAAGGAATTGGGAGCCCAAGTGGTCGAACGGCCACCTGAATGAATATCCAAATCCCCCGTCGTGGAGACATCTCGCATGTACGTGAACCGTGAGTCAGGAGCTAAAACCGTGCTGGGGGAGTGGCCTAGGAGCTGGCTGGTGACTTCAGCAAGAAGTGTCGTGGGTGTACGAACAGATGACTCAGAGAACCGAGGGTCGGGAGAGCAGAGGGATAGCGCTAAGTCTTCTCTCCTTCGTCTTTTCAGAGCAGCCCCAGTGCAAGGCTCTCGGGGCATCAGACTGAACACGGACGAAGACCGCGGTGCAGCATGGCCGCAGTCCATCGTAGACGTCAGAGTGCGCTCATCTGTCATGTCTGCCGAAGAACTGGGTAGGTTTTTAGTCTTAAATTGACAAGGCCTCATCTCAGTACTCTTCCTTTATTCCACGATTTCCTTTGCATCTCTCCCTCATCTCACACACACACGCACACACACACACACACACACACACACACACACACCCCTGTTCTCACCCCACCCTCCCTGTGCACCAAGAAGACTCCAAATCCCGCAAAGCCCCCTACTTTCCATATGATTCATTGCTGCTCTCAACCAGATCTCATCCTAACTGAGCAGTCCACTCTTCCAAAAATGAAGGAGTGACTAACCCTTTTCAAATTACTTTGTTTTTCAGGACCTTCTGGATTAAGTCGCTAACCAGGGCTCCCTCCTCCTAAGAAGAATGTATTTGTGCGTCAGATGCTGTATAAAGTACTAGCCAGTGTTCAGAGCTTTGAGAGGAGCGAGGGTCTGAGGGACAGGGCCCACGACGGGAGGAGACAGTGACAGTGACGGAAGTGACCGGAAGCCAGCTCCGTGTGCGCAGGCTCCGTGCTAACCCAGCGGGACTGCTCCAGAGAAAGAGGCCCGAAAACATGACTCAGAGAACTTGGAGGAAAGGCCAGCAGCACGCCTTTGGCCGGCACCCAGCACCATGCCCAGGGTGCGCTGACCCTCCAGTGGAGGGCCAAGGGCGCATTCAAGTCACACAGCCCTTCCTGTGACCCACAAAACTGAGCAGGAAATGCACATTTGTAAGAAGATATAAAGCAACATTGTTCGCTGCACTAACAAGTCCTGAAAGTCCCTCAGCCAAGGGGGAAGAGGCAAAATGAGAAATGTTTTTTAACAAAAAAAAAAAAGAGAGAGAGAGAGAGAAAAGGGAAACAGAAAAAAAAACAACAGCTCTGGGGGGAGGCCCACGTGAGGGGCTGGGGCCCGGGGAGCAGGGCTCAGGGATGTCCCCTCTGGCATCTGTCCCTCCTGCTCCGTCTCCTGGCTCTTCAGGGGGAGGCTGGAAGCACGGGAAGAAAATATCCACGGAGCTCACTCTCCTTTAGGTCTTAAAATGGGGAAACACCCAATCCCCTTTATGAAAATTCAAGTAGAAACTGATACGTCGTTTATCATTAATGATCCAACTTAAAGCAGGAAAGGAGCTATGGTATCAAAAATGTAAATCAGACCTCCAGGCATGGAGTAAGTCTTCTTACTCGCATGGATCAGACTATCAGTCCTGTTATCTGAAGTAGACAGTTGGCTACACCCACCTGTTGCCAGGAGTAGCCTCTGCCTTGACAGGGGGCTGCACAGCCACGCCGGGAGGGCGCCTCCAACGGTTGCATCCCTTCACTCCCTTGAGAAGGGGATTTAAGGCAACAATCTGTGTTTGAATAAGGCATCACCATTTTAAAATAAACTCTGTCTTTTCATTCTAGCTCATAATTTGCAAAAAAAGGAAAGGAAAAAAGGGGGACGAAAGGAAGGAAAGAAGGGGGGAGAAAAGGAAGGAAGAAAGGAAGGAAAGGAGGGAGGGAGGGAGGGAGGGAGGGAAGGAGGGAAGGGAGGGATGGAGGGAGGAAGGCTGGCTCTTATATGCGACGACCCTGAGTTTCATTACCTAGACATGTCTTCAAAGACATGACATTTTTTTTCTGAATGTTCTAAAAATGGATGCTATGTATCAGCTAAAAATATAAAAATGAACAAGTATGCGTTGAATCACATAATAGCACATGTCATTTTCCTGTAAGCTAGGAGTGTTCGTCCTGGGCTCTCAGTTCATCTGAAGCGACTCGCACCTAATGTGGGCCAGCGGGGCATCTCCAGCTTGGCAACTGGACCGCGGTCTCCTTGGGCACACAGTCCATACAAGGGCCTGAGGGCTCCTGCATCCTGGGCCCCTGCCTGGAGGGCGGGGAAAAAAGATTGCTGAAACCCGGCCCCCTGGGCTGGGGCTCACACGGGCTTCCAGCTGGGCGTGAAGCCCCCGCCACCTTCTCGGCTCAGGGGGATGCTGACAGAGGGTAGAAGACGCCGCCGAGGCGCCTTATGTCTGTTCGTAGCTTCCGATTCCAAAGGAAACGAGGTGTAGCACCCTGCTTATCACAGCACTATCCACCAGTGACCTGTTCCGTGCCATCTCGGTTCATTATTACTGATATGGATGCGAATATGGATGCCAAGAAGGGAAGTTCGTGCTGAATCAATCCTTGTGTTTCATGTAGCTTTTGCTCACTGGATCCCTGTCCCATGCAGGCAGCGAGCTGCGCGCTGCTGGCCTGCAGGTAAGAAGACACCCCGGCGAGGGAGTAGACCGGACTGCACGACGGAAGTCGCTCTAGAGTTGTAGTGGCGTGGAGGCAGGGAGAGCTTAAGAGAAGCTTAAGATAGGAAAAGAGTCCTGGGTTGAGCTTCAGAAGATGAGAAGCTCTTACACAGGGTGAGGGCGGAGCATGACTTTAAGGCAGAAGCAGAGGCCCCAGGGCTGGATGTCACAGGCGGCATTCGGAAAGCGTGAGAATTCGCTGTCACCGCAGTGTTCCAGGGGCGTCATTTTCCTTCGTGAAACAGCCTCGTCATGCACTATTAGTCTTCTAGACGTTCTCCCTCTGAGAAGGGAGCCCTCCCTGCACCCACTTATCCTGCAGACACCTCTGGGATTCGGGTTCTGAGGAGAGAGAAGGAAGGGACAGTGTCTTCGAGCAGCTCAGAGTCTAGTTAGTAGGAAACTTAGTGTGTGCGTGATAACGTAGACGCCTAACCACGGACTGGACTTCTGGGAAAGAGATCAGTGCTGCAGGAGGTGGGCAGGAGAGGGGGCACAGCTTTGCCTCACGGCCCCTCAAACTCTGGGGCTCAGGCCAGACTTGACTCTGTCAACAGCTCAGCAAAGTAGGACCCGGGTAACGACTCCACCCATTTCGGTGCCCTGGAGGCCCCTCACCTGGGCCCAGGCTGGAGTGAGTCAGGTGTGTGTCTCCCTTTACGGTACTCCTCACAGGGGCATCTTCCCCTTCCAACTCGCACTGGGATTCAGGGACCAATGGCATCAGATCCCCTGGAAGCTTCTAGAAATGCAGATGCTCAGGCCTCTCTCTGAAGCTCCGGCATCGCAACCTGCCTTTGGAAGATACTCAGTGACTCCAGCAGCCAGTGACAGTGTTTGGGGAGTACTGAGGCTCAAGTTGGGCTGCTGCCACTTTAATCACCTGGAACATTTTAAAACATCAAAGTGCCCGGGTCTTACCCCCGAGCCTGATTGATTTGGCACAGGTGCAGTTGGGCATGATCATTTTAAAGGCTTCTCAATCACCTTAACCTATAGCTAAGTTTGAGAACTTTCCAGCCATCTCTCTCGCCTGAGAGCCACCAGTACGGATGAGAGGTGCCTGCGGTGGGTTATTCCAAGAAAGGTGAGGCAGGAGCCAGGGTAAAGGACAGTAGGAGGAGAGGAACTGAGAAGGGGGCAGTCCCCTAAACGTGGTTACAGATGGCCTCTCATTAGCCTGTGATTAGACACCCTTCACTGCCATGCCCTCCCTTGACAATAAGCTGGGGCCCAAGATGAGTTGGTGACTCACCATGGTCACATAACAGAATCAAAACAGAACGCCCTTCAGATGGGGGTGCCGGAGAAAGCACGGGACAAGAACACCAGGCCACCCAGCTTGCTGGCTGTGCGCTGTCCTCATCCTGAGTGCCCCCAAGCCTCCGCTCTGTTACCCATGGTGTCACTTCCCATGCCACCTCCTTCGTGCAAACCACAGGGGACTTCACGGTCCCTCCGACTCACCTTCATGTCTGCTCTGACCTTCTGGACAGTCCACCCATGAAGGAAGATACAGTCTTGTTACTGCAAAGGAAGGACTGTCCCAGCACCCCAGAGGAAGCCACGCTTTCCCTGGCCCTTATCGTCACAACAGAGTTCCTTTTGCTCTAGGCTCCCTGTGGAAGGAACCGCATGACCTCATGCATGGCACTTCAAAGACATCCCTGCAGTAATAGTTTTCATAAAGCCATTATGTATAATGTCCCTGGATGTAAGCCAAGGAAATAACATTAAAATGCATGAAAATTCTGCCGGGGACGAGGAACACATGGTCCGAGTGCACAGCGTGGTGCAGGAATAAAAATTAGTGCGCCAGAGGAAGGGATAAATAGCATGCCCTTCAAATGGGTCCTCATAAATGTCGCTTCTGTTATGCGGGCTTTCGGTAAGGCAGTAGGAGGCTGAGGTTTGACTCGCTGGCCCGACATGGCATTGCTCTGGGTCACGGGCTGAAGGAAAAGCACAGACAAGTCAATAGCAGGGTTATCATCCATTTATGGAAGTTCATGACTATCCAAGACTTTTGAAAGAAGAGAGAATTATCCATTTTTGTGCAAAAGTGGGCCAAGGTCATATCCCAAGGACAATCCAGGGGTTTTCTCAAGAAAGTTTGTCTGCATTGGGGCCACACAGCTATATGGATGACAGGTCGAGTCCTGGAGTTCTGTACATGCCGTGTGGTGCATAGAACGTTTCTGTAGCTGTCCACAGTCCCTGTTTCTCGATGTCCTGGGAGACACCTTACCAGGGGACGTGGGCACATGGGAAATTCTCGCAGGTAAAGAAGATGGAACTTAAAATAAGCCTTGGAAGACGTGGAGGATGTCCATACATCAACATGGAGGAGAACAATTAGGACAGAAGAATATGACTAGAGGGGAGTGTTAGCTGTAGAAACGGGCGTGGCTGCCCTCTGCGAGGGAGAGGGAGATTTGTCCCGGCAGCCTGCCTGGTGAACAGAGCTGGTTCGCACGGACAGTCGGGGAAGTGCCGGTCATTTCCCCTCACTCCACTACTCACTCGTCCCACAGTCAAGAGCTCAGCAAACCGAAGGGTCATCACGCGTGGTCCAAGCGACCTGGGCATCACCTTGACTCCCTCCTCCTCACCCAGCACCTCCTGCCGGAACACTGTCAAGTCCACCTATAGAATGACTTTTGAATCTATCCCCTCCAAATACCTCTTTTTTTCTCAGCTCAGACTTTGTCATCTCTCACCTGGTCCGCTGCAGAAGCCACCGCACCCACCTCCTGGCTGCAGGCTCTGCCCCAGGCTGCCCTCCGCACTGTGGCCCGAGTGGGCTTCCCAAGTGTTTCCGTCAATGTCTGCTATGTGGCAAACGTTGTATGGAAATTGGAAATAAACTTAAAAAAAAACACTACTGCAAAATGTAATGAATGGTATCAAGGGAAAGAAAAGGACATTGCAGAATAGAAACTAGGGTGGTAGAAGTGGCCGCGGCGGGGGAGTCAGGAAGCGGTTCCCTGCAGACGACAGGTGTGCTGGGGTCCGAGAAGTGAAAAGGCTCATCTGTGCGAGAGTGTGAGGCCGGCATTCGTGGCGGAGAGAAGAGCGCTGGGAATGTCCCAGGGCGGGAAGAACAGGTTGAATTCCAGGATGAGAGGAGGAAGATGCGCATCAGTAGTGGGGGGAGCCTGAGGCGGGTGCCAGGAGCCTGGAGCAGTGAGCAAAGTCCAGACCAGGCAGGACCCTCGTGGCCCCAGGAAGACGTTTGAAAATTATTTAGCGACAGCCACTGATGTATTTTAACCGGGGTGACTTGGAGATAGTATTCAATTTGCGTTTTCAAAGCTATCTCTGGCAACTGTGTGAGCAGGGAGACTCGGGAACTAAGTGTGGAAGTGGAAAACCTCAGTGCGCAAAGGTGGCTGGAGGTCAGGCAAGAGATAATGGTGGTTCTGGCCAGGAAGAGGCTATGAGGGAAGTAGACGGGTGCAGGGCAGCCTTCGGAGGTGGCATGGACGAACTTGGGATGAGTTGGGTGAAACAAGGTGAGGAAGCAGGAATCAAAAGGATGCCCAGCTTTCTGACCAAGAGCTTCGATAAAGGCACCCAGCAAGGAAGGCTGTGGGTGGAGGAGGCAAGCCCACACGGCCACTCCACTAAAACAGGGTGGTCAATAGTTCTCTGCTGAAATGCTGTGGCATCCTCGTTAGCTCATGGCACTGTCTAAAGCCTTGACCATGACATTTAATTTCCTCCACCATCTAGTCCCGCCCAATCTGTAGCACTTGCCACTCTCATCTCCTTCCTGCTGTCTCCACTTCAGGGATATCCCCAGGTCCTTCCTTTTCCTGAACTTCCCCTTCCCTCCCCGAGCATCTGGTAAACCCTGCTCACCTTTCCACACCTACATCGCATGGCACCTCCACTGCGGTGTCTTCTACAGACCGAGGACAGTGTG